TTGACTATCCACCTGCCATTCTGTGGACCTGACAAGCTAGATAACTTTTACTGTGATGTGCCTCAGCTGATCAAATTGGCCTGCACGGATACCTTTGTCCTGGAGCTTCTGATGGTGTCAAACAATGGTTTGGTCACCCTCATGTGTTTTCTAGTGCTACTGGGATCCTACACAGCCCTGCTAGTGATGCTCCGAAGCCACTCTCGGGAGGACCGTAGCAAGGCTCTGTCTACCTGTGCCTCTCACATTGCTGTGGTGACCATAATCTTTGTACCTTGCATCTACATCTACGCAAGGCCCTTTAGAACATTCCCAATGGACAAGGCAGTTTCTGTGTTATACACAATGGTCACCCCCATGCTGAATCCGGCTATTTATACCCTAAGAAATAAGGAAGTGATCTTGGCCATGAAGAAGTTGTGGAGGAAACAGAAGGATTTTATTGGTCCCCCAGGCACTAACAGGGTCTGAGGAACTAAAAATACTTCAGAAGACCCACAAAATAGATAAAACTCTATACCAGTTGCATTATTAAAATTATTTTTAATCATTGTTAATTTCTGGTGCCCCAAACTTTTAGTCACTGTAGAATATGGGAAGAGTGTTCTAGAATTGCTCCTAGGTTCCTTCTAGAAAAAATAGCATGTATTATATATTTCAAAGTACACATTCCCAACTCTGGCCTTGCCAAGAAAGTTCCAGTTTCAACGTGGCATGCATATGAATTCTGAAGCTGGCAACTCTTTCCTGATACTTTTTTTTGGAAAAAAAAATATATTGACATGCTCAAAAGATTTTTTTTTCAAATTCTTGGAGGCAAATGGGGTCTTAAAGTTAAAATTAATGTAGGATCCAATGTCCATTTCAGGAGACTGTCAATGAAGACAGAAAAATTACCTTGGGCAAGTAAGTTTCTTCCTCATAGTTCCTTAAAGTCATCATTGTCTTCTTCTTCCCCTTCCCCTTCCTCGTCCTCCCTCCTCTTCCTCCTCCTCCTCCTCCTCCTCCTTCTTTATTATCATCATCTAAGCACTTGGTAAGAGCTCACTCTGTCAGGTGTTGAATGTATTGATTTATACTCATTATCTGTTGCTAAAATTCCTTCTGGGGGTTGTAAACAATGTCCACCCCCCTTGGTCCCAACAACAAACCAAGGTACAGTTTTGTCAAATTGGGAAATCAATGAGTTTTCTGGGTTTACTTACAGAGCAATGTGTGAGGATTTAGTTATAGGAGTGTGGGTGCTACCCGCCTCCCCCCAAGGCTGCACTGAATATTTCCATTCAAGCATGGATGGTGGCTTCCGCATAGCCACATAAAATATCAAGAGAACCCCTCCCTAGGCTTCCCCAGCCTATATACCCTTAGTCCCTCCCCCAGGATTGTGCAACTAAGGATGACTTGTTGGTTGGTAGGTGTGGCAGGACTCTTAAGTGAGGGTCCTGCGACTTTCCCTGCTCCTCCTTTCTTGTGTGGTATGACAGTTAACAAGCTCAGCTGTGATGATCTTAGGCAAGTGGGCACAACCAAGCTTGGGAAGATGGTGTCTGTCTGACAGACAACAGTCTTATACAATATTATCTATTTTAATTCTCACAACAGTTTAACAAGTTAGGTATCATTTTCATTATTTTTATTTTTAAATATTTTATTTATTATTTTTGTTTTATGTGTATAAGTGTATTGCTTGCATATATGTAAGTGCACCCATATAGTGCAAAGCCACAGAGATCAGATCCCCTGGAACTGGAATTACAGATGGTTGTTAGCTGCCATATGGGTTCAGCCACAGAGATCAGATCCCCTGGAACTGGAATTACAGATGGTTGATAGCTGCCATATGGGTTCTGGGAACCAAACCTAGGGCCTCTGTAAGAACAGCTGGTGTTCTTAACTCGCTGAGCTCTCTGTCCAGTTCATCAAATTCATTTTTAAAGAAGAGTTGTTTTCAAGCTAAAGACATTAAATAACTCATTCAAGTCCACAAAGTTTATTTATGGACTCCAACCGAGGTCTGTGTACCTTTGAATACCAAATTCCAGATGGTATCTAAAACTTCTGGTGTCTCAAGGGTCAATCTCTCTGACATAGATAGATGTGACATTTTAAATTGGTCTAGGCCTAAAGGTGTTTGGAGAATGAGGCAGACTTGTAAAACGATTTATGAAAAACTGAGCATATGAAGAAAGGGAATTTGGGAAGGAAGGTTGGGGAATTGAGGAGGAATTTATTTCAGAGAACTAACATCTGACCACTGGTATGTGTGACTTATTTTCTTCTGCACATTTACTGAAAATGTCAGTCTTTTAAAAGAGCTGCCTGTCAGGTAGTTTTGAGCCATGGAAATCTGCTGTGATGATGCTTCATGATCTTAAACAGAAGCTGGTGTCAGAAAATCATGAGTATTGTGAGCAGCTGCACTTTAACTTAAGTAACTTTGGGAAATGGTTCTGATCTGCTCTCTGATCTCTCAGTTCCTCTTGAAGAGATCTGAATCCCCTCTTCTTTCAGACTTCTGTTTATCCTATCAGATTTTACTTGCATTGTTGAACCTACATTTGTTTATATATACAAATATATTTTAAAAGTCAGGTTTTATTTCTTTTGTTAACTTATTTAACCAATCACTGATACTCTCATCTTGAAGAGATCTGAATCCCCTCTTCTTTCAGACTTCTGTTTATCCTATCAGATTTTACTTGCATTGTTGAACCTACATTTGTTTATATATACAAATATATTTTAAAAGTCAGGCTTTGTTTATTTGTTTTTTTAACTTATTTAACCAATCACTGATACTCTCACATGGATGGGGGACAGAAAGACATAACATCTGAGTATTGAATCTGTTGCCTTAGCATGATACTTGCCTTTCAATGA